TAGGTCCGTACTTACAACTCTACAAGCAAATCTCCAAACCCATCAATGGAGAAAAATAGTCACAGAGCAGACGAACTCGAGGTTACCCGATGGCCGCAGTAGAAATTACACAGCCCTACAAGAGAACAAATTGCCCCGATATGACGATAACGAATTTGAGCTCGAGATACATCGGGACCACGCATGTCGGAAGCGAAATTGAGAAGAAATTGGAGCTCAAAACGACGCCGTCCAAGAGGGCTATGGAGGATACGATGTTCGTGGCCTTGGGAAGAGATGCGAAGGAAAGTGAGTCAGTTTTGATGTGGGCTTTGCATAATTTCAGTGGGATGGGGATTTGTGTGCTCCATGTTCATCAACCAGCTCAGAAGATCGCCACGAGTGAGTCTTGAGCTGTTGCAGGAAAAAAAGCATCGGATTAGATAATATTTTTTTTTGGGTTATGCTTGTTGCTTATCTGGTGATGAAAACTGTGTTTCTCTGTGATTTGGGGGCAGATTTACTGACAATGATTCTCTTGGATTTATTTATCGGCTTGACCGTTTAGTACTTCATAACTTTTGTGTAGATATGTTCTCTTGTACTCTCAATTTAATTGTTGTGGTTGATGATACGATTAAGTCTGTTGCCTTCTGGTTCTGAATAGATCATATTGAATGGATATTCGTTTCGTTAGAGAAAGAGGGAGCAGAAAGGTATTAGGAGATGTGGTTCATTTGAACTCTGGAGATTTATAGCTTAAAATTATTATCCAACTGTAGTTTTTTTAATCTATTTTCTGTTAATGTCAGGACTTCATACAGTCAAGTTTACTTATTATACTACATTATTCTCCATTTTACAGTGGGTGGTGAAGTTTTGATTAGTCCGAATGAAGAACGTATAGCCAAAGCACGTCATGAAATCGAGAAGCAAGATATTCAGAAGACGCTTGACAAGTATATTCGGATTTGTGAACAGGCTGGGGTATTGACAACTGTTCATTTCTCCTATTATCTATTGTGTAAGGGAAAAAAACAGAAGGAAATGGAAAATGAAAAAATGGGATGGATTACGATAGCTGCAGTCTAGGTTTACCCTTACCACAATAGTATGTAACTAACTTTCAAATTACAACCCCCCCACCATCCCTCCCCGAAGTGAAATAAAGTCACTCCCTGAAGTTTTGTGTTTAATTTACAAATACTGCTCTCTTGATGGTGCACCATGTAAAATGGAAACATATCAGTTGTTTGTTTGGNNNNGTGATCAGGCTAAAGAAAAAGCATCACCCCATATATACTTGAACATTGGAAAGATTTTGACGTTTACGTTGATTTGCAAACTTAAAGACCACCATCGCTATAATGTTTGAAAATCAGTGTTTAATTGTTCATTCTTCATGCCTGCTCACGGTCCATATATATTTATAAATTTCGTTTCAGCATTGCTTATCAATATATACTCATATAATATTATGCATACGCTCCTCCACTAAGTTCTCTTGATTTGTCTCCCTTTGTATTTTAGGTGCAAGCAGATAAAATATGCGTGGAAATGGACTCCATTGGGAAGGGTATAGTGCACCTCGTTGCTAAGCATGGTATCAAGTGGCTTGTCATGGGTGCAGCTACTAATGAAAATTATTCACGGTATATTATTATGTTTTTCTTTTATTTCCCCCCTCAATACACGCCAGTAATGACACAGTCCTCTATTTCTTTTTGTTACTCATAAAAGGTTGTACTATATCAGTCTGCTGCTTTATTTGCACGCGGTGAGCAAATATATTATATTTCTTTACCTTAAGATCTCTATGTTGTCTCACCCGAATTTGTTTTTCTTCTATCCACCTCATCTATACTCTGCTGTGCTTGCTTGCTTACCATTATTATTATGTCATTGCAGAAAGATGAAGGAGCCCATGTCTAATAAGGCAATCCATGTACTAAAAGAAGCACCTGATTTCTGCAAAATTTGGTTTATATGCAAAGGAAACCTTATTCATACAAGGTATCGATTTAGTGTTAGCATATAAAGGTCATTGTCTAATTTTTCTCCTCAAGCTCCCTCCATATTATTGCATGTCTAATCCATTACCCGATACTGATTCTGGGACAAATATATTTAGGGAATGTAAAAGTGAGACCGAGTCTCAGTCATTTCTAGCAAATCCAACTACTGAAGCTGTAGAGTCCTTGAGATCACTCTCGGTTGGAGATGGGGTGAGGGGTTCGAGAAAATTGCAAAATTTGGCAATAAATTATCATGGGGCCAAGTCTGACATCCATGGGATGCAGCCTTTAACACCAAATTCGGAATGGAGCTCCGATTGTGAAACCCTATCAAGGAGAAGTCCTTCAGTAGGCTCGCGCATTTCCACGTGCTCGTCCAGTGAAATTGAAGAGGTGACCTCAACATCCCCTCCAATCTTTAAGGCGAATGAATTGGTTTCTGGGTTACCTATAGTAAGCATATCAACCATGATAGAATGAACTCTTCGCATTATTTCAGATGATATGATAAAAAATGGTTTCACCAGCAAAGTTTTAACTGTGTTTACTTTCCCTGCCTCGTTGTAAACTTAACTGTGATCTTTACTTTTATCAAGGAGAGTTTAATGTAATTATGAGGGATAATTCAACTATTTGTTCCTTTTCTGATTACTTGATAAAACTGACCAGGAACAGAATGTGAATGAATTGTATGGGAGACTAGAGCTATTTTTGGCAGAAGCCGAAAGTTCTCCTAAAGAAGCTTATGATGGATCCATCAAGCATAAGAAAGCTGAGAAAGATGTCATTGATGCCTTTCGCAAAGTAAAGCTTCTATAAAGTTCTCTTATGTTTTAATTATTTTCAAATATTTAGTATTTGTACGAGATGTGAAAATCGTGCATGCATCCATGTCCATTATAACTTATATGGTTGTGACTGGATATGATATAGAAGACATTTTCATCCCACTGGAGAAAGCTTTCTTAAAAGTTAAACTATTCACTCATCTTACTTTTTCCCACCTCAATTTTAATAATACATTACATACTTCAAAATAAAACTTCCTCTATATATAATTACCGAATGTGTTGAGCCTAAATGGCAGGCGCACGCCTCGGGGTCCTATTGGCAAAATTTCATGCTTCGTCATTTGGCTTGAATACCTTTTAATTTACTTCCCATCCATAAATAATTAGGCTTGGAATTATTCATAATATAAATATACTGGATATTTGTGACCATTTTATGAGCATTAATCGTGGTTTAATATAATTTCCTATTTTGGACGTGGTTGATTAGGAATGAAATTTTTTGCCTCAATCTTTTGTTTTCTCCCAATCTTTTTTTAATTATAATACACTTAATTGTAAATATATTTTATAAGTTAACTTTTATATTTACCATCAAATTTCCATATATAATATATAAAATCAATCAACTCTTCATGAGCTTTGATTTAAGTAGTATATGTGATAGTGTCATTTTAAATATAAATAATAATAATAATAATAATAATAATAATAATAATAATAATAATAATAATAATAATAATAATAATAATAATATATTTGTCCATTGCAAATGGAGCTGGAAGAGTCATTGTTGACAATTCTCCTGGCATAGTGCTAATAATGGACTAGATCAAAATGGCTCAATTAAATTCTAGTGCTTCTTCAATTTTAGTGAAGTTTCTTGAAAAAAAATATATATATATCAAACGGCGCAATGCACCTTGGGTCGCTACGGAAACAGCCTCCTTGTATAATTACAAGGGTAAGGTCTGCGTACAACTGACCCCCCAGACCCCAACCTGTTGGGAATATACTGGGTATGTTGTTGTTGTTGTAATAATAATAATAATATAATAATAATATATAGTTTTTAAAACATTTATAATATTGTCATTTTATATATTTATTTTTATACGGATATTGTACTATTACTTTTTAAATTTAAGTATAATTTTTTAACAGACACCCGTGTATTACACGGGTATTGTACTAGTCAATCATTAGTACAAAATTTACTATGAAATTTTTTGTTCATTTAATTCATTCACTCACATATATCTCATTACCAGTTAATAATTCATTATTTTCAAATCACATCAAATTTAATCATTACATTTCTATCTTACTATGCATCACACTTTTCAAATTATTATTTTTTCCCCAAAACTTATTCTCTCTGGTGAAGTAAAGACTTCCCTACAAAAGCAATATCCAATCGCCTCTAGGTCTCCCCCCCTCTCTCTCTCTCTCACACACACACATACACACAGACACATCACAATTATTATCTTTTTCATTTTTCTTGAGCTGTTAACTGTTGTGGATGAAACTGTACAAGCTGTAACTTCGCTGCCTCCCCTTCAAGCTAATGCTTCATATTAATAAAGAACTTGACAAATAACTGATACGTACAGTACTTAATTTTAGGCCAAAGCATCAGAAACAATGTATGCAGAGGAGCTAAAATGCAGAAATCAGCTTGAAGAAGCCCTTGACAGAGGTAAAAAAGAAGTTAAGAAGATGAAAATGCAACTAGGTGAAGTCATGGAAGAGCTCAGAATTGCGCAAGAACACCAATCCTCCTTAGAATCCCAAATTGCCAATTCAGATAAATCAGTTGAGGATTTGAAACAAAAGATGTTTTCTGCCGTGGAACTTCTGCAAAAGTACAAAATGGAAAGAGATGAATTGCAGGTCCTGCGTGATAATGCACTCAGGGTAGTCGAGGAGCTGAGAGATAAACAAGCTGAGGAGGCATCAAGTTCGTCTATATCTCAGTTTTTCTCGGTTTTCTCTTTTTCTGAAATTGAAGAGGCCACGGGAAGCTTTAGCGAAGGCCTCAAGATTGGTGAAGGGGGTTACGGAAGTATCTATAGAGGAAATGTTCGGTGTACTCAAGTGGCCGTGAAAGTGCTACATGCAAATAGCTCGAAAGGACCTCTTGAATTCCAACAGGAGGTAAATTTGTCGGGGCAGACTGTTACACTGCATGTTTTTCCAGCATGTCCTTTTATTTTCTTTTTCTATTTCATTTTTCCTTTTTTTTTAATTTTATTATTTAATCTACTGTATTAGTGATCGGGGGAAAAAGCTGATATTTATTTTGATAATTTTCCGGATGTTATTCGACGGGGTAAATAGCTCTGAACCGTTAAAAGGAAAAATAAAGAACCGTTGCCAAACTTCCCGAATTAAAATTGTTTTGTTATATATATTCTTGAAGAACCGGGACATTCAGAAGTTATCACCTCTTACGCTCCTGAATAAAAAAAAAAAAATCACAATCTCAAACTCACTCTTGTTTTCAGGTAAACATACTGAGTAAGCTGAGGCATCCAAACATAATCACCCTCATCGGAGCCTGCCCCGAGGCATGGGCCCTCGTCTACGAATACCTCCCAAACGGTAGCCTCGAGGACCGCCTCAACTGCAAAAACAACACATCCCCACTCCCCTGGAAATCCCGTCTCCGTATAGCCTCCGACTTGTGCTCGGCCCTCGTCTTTCTTCATTCCCGCCGCCCTCAACCCATTGTTCACGGCGACTTGAAACCCTCCAACATACTTCTCGACTCCAACTTTGTGGCCAAGCTAAGCAATTTCGGCATATGTCGCGAGCTCCAAGAAAACGAGCTCCTCGCAAATAACACGAAAGGGACGTTGGTGTACATGGACCCGGAGTTTCTTGCTTCGGGTGAACTTAGTGTGAAATCAGACGTGTATTCGTTCGGGATAGTGTTGCTGAGGCTTTTGACCGGGCGGCCGGCATCGGAGATCGCGAGGGAAGTGCAGTGCTCGCTGGATAAGGGGAGCATGAAGTTTTTGCTGGACCCCACAGCTGGGGACTGGCCGTTTGTGCAGGCGGAACAGCTGGCACACTTGGGAGTGAGCTGCACGGACGTGGACCCTAGGAGACGCCCGGATCTTGTTTCGGAGGTGTGGAGAGTGCTCGAGAATATGAAGGCATCGTGCTCAGGGTTTTGTTATGGGGAGAAGGGCCAGGTACCGGCGTATTTCGTGTGTCCCATCTTTCAGGTTAGTTTTTTTTTTTTATTATTATTATTATTATTTTTTTTTCAATTATGGTTCGGTTTCTTATCTGTGTATGTTTCTATCTTGCGAAGATATGTTTTGGAATTTAGAATTATGTATCCCCTGTGAAGTAGCTTTCTTTTTACAAGTGCATTTGTAAAACAGATGCAAAATTGTAAGGTTGTTTTGTGATTTTAAAAGGGGGTGGATTGCAAACTCTGCCCCTGTCCCTCACTCCCTTGAGGCTTGTAGTAATTATTACGAAAAACAGGGCAAGTTTCAGAATCACAAAAAATGACTGTGTTGAACAGGTGGAAAATGCATTTTGCAACTGTAAGATATGCTTTGGCTTGTAAAGGGGAAGAATTATATACAAACCCCAGTAGCTTTTTCTTTATCCTTTTGATAGTTTTCAGTAATCTCTGGAGTTTCTTATAGTTGATCTAAACCTTGAGCAAGTTTTTAATTTGTTTTAGCTCAGCTTTTGAAACTATCTTTGTTTTTTTTTCTTTTTCTCCTGGTTGAACCCGGCAGTGAAAAATGCATACTACTGCAAAATCTGGAAAAAATGGTATAAAATTAAGCCAGATGAAAGATAAAAGCTCCACACTACACAGTTCATGTAAAAATAACATTCCCAATCTCACATTCTTTCAATTTTAGGTTTTTAAATGTGGACTAATATTTGCAGGAAATCATGCAAGACCCAGTGGCTGCAGCAGACGGGTTTACTTATGAGTCGGAGGCTCTCAAGGGATGGCTTGAGAGTCATGATACGTCACCTATGACCAACGATAAGCTCGCAAACCATGACTTTTTGCCCAATCATGCCTTGCGTTCTGCAATACAGGAGTGGCTCGCAAAATCTTGAAAAATTTGCCTCAGCATATACAGTTTATATATACTATATATTGGTCAATTTATAATTTTCTACATTTTCTTGTATGCTCGTAGAGGTCAACATTATAGGTCGATGATACACGTGTATAGGTTGGCTCAGTATGTCAATATGTCATAGCTTTTGGTTGGGTTCTCTTTTTTGGTTTATTGGCTTCTTGATTTTGTATGTTGTGTGAAATCCAGACGGTTGGTTTGTGGCATATATTTGTTATTTATGTACGAGCTTTAACGAGTTTCCAGTAATCCAGTGGCTGGATTATTTTAAATAACTAATTCTGATATTTATTTACTTTGAACTCTTTCAAACATTGTGTTTCAGCAAAGAACAGGACCAATGAGCTGATGTGATTGAATATAGAAAGATCGAAAAATTTTGCTACACAATGTAGATGGAAAAAGTGAAGAAAATGTTTTGGAGTAATGATTTACTTCAAGGTAAAAATATATATAATAATTAAAGTGATGTAACATAATTAAAATTACTAAAATACTGGTTAGTGATGATTAATAGCTAAATATAAATGATATTGGTGATTAATGTTCTAAAATATGAGATTGACTGCATTTTTTGGAGTGATTAATTTGTATTTAAGTTGTATGATTAAGTTTAGTACAAAATAAGAATAAACAGTATATTTTTTTTAGAACTAATCACAACAAATTGAAATGAATAACATTTGTCCGGCAAGACTACAATGAACTTGTCTCACATCCAATCGATCCAAATGTTTTTCTTAATTTGAACTGTAAGGCTTTTGGTTGCTGGAAAAAATACCATCTTAATAAAAGAGCAGCCGTCCATATCGACCTCAGTAAACAGATTGCAAGTAAACCAAAAAGGCAGACATAAACCTTGTTCATAGTAACAACAAATAATTTCTACGGACAAATTAATTTCTTTATTCAAGATACTATTAGTCACTACTTACTAGTGAAAGATTCAATAACCTTCACTTGCCAAGTTAGATACAGCACAAAAATGGACCTACACTAAAAAGATCTTTTCATGTTCCATCTCTGCAAAGAAAGAGTTGCTTAATGAGGCTTTGGTTTATATCCGTCGACTGCAAAATTTCGTGTGGCTGAAGGAAGTGCTAAACGAAGTCCCTCAAGTTCAGGTTTCGCAATTACCTGACAACCGAGTCGAGACCTGCACGATAAATTGTGTTACATTAATTAGTTAAGACTTAGAGAGGCCAATATCAATTGATCATGGTTGGGTCAGTCGAGGCAAGGAACCTACGTTTCGGTGAGGCCAAATGCAAGGTCTAACATGTCATTTTCCTCATCGGTTGGATCAGGTAATTTGTTGTATTGATCCATGTCCTGTGAAAAAGCATCAAAATAGTATTCTCAAGGAGATGTTTATAACAACTTTAAGTGCTAGGTTTTTTTGTTACGGAAGATCACTAGTGTATGTTGTGATTTGAGCTGTTGGGTTAATTTTATAAATATCCCAGTGAAGCTTTGCTGTAAAGTTGCTCAAATTACTTACCATCACAATAACATGGCAAGTGGAACAAGCAAGAGACCCTTCACATGCCCCTACAATTTGAAAAACAAAAAACAAAAATTCACAGGCTTTATCACAATAGGCTATAAGTACCCATTGACAAGACTGCAAAAGTTCCAAATTCTATTGAATCAGGCATTTAAATATTTCTTATCAACTTAATAAATCAATTTAGTCACATAATAGAAAAGTACTTCAACTAATACCTTAAAACAATTGCACGAAACAGACAATCAGAAGCCACTGCATGGCTTGCAGAAAAAAAGAGAAAAATTTGAAAAAATAAATATACAGAAAAAAAAATAAAAAAAAATTGAAGCTTACCTTCAAGTTCTATGTCATTCTCGTGTGCAGCTTCAAGCATTGACATTCCAATTGGGACTTTAATATGTGTCTCTTCCCCGTCTTTATCAACAAATGTCACGTTTATTCTGCAAAATCAAAATAAAGAAAATATTAAAAATAAAATATTCGCATAGACTTCAGCATCATCCACTTGATATACCATATGTATTGAAAAATCCACCAAAGCTGTGTTCAATTATGCAACAACAACAACAACAACATACCCAGTATATTCCCAACAGGTTGGGGTCTGGGGGGTCAGTTGTACGCAGACCTTACCCTTGCAATTATACAAGGATGCTGTTTCCGTAGCGACTCAAGGTGCATTGCGCCGTTTGATATATATTTTTTTTTCTAGAAACTTCACTAATAGAAGAAGCACTAGAATTTAATTGAGCCATTTTGATCTAGTCCATTATTAGCACTATGCCAGGAGAATTGTCAACAATGACTCTTTCAGCTCCATTTGCAATGGACAAACTGGGTTCAATTATGCCAACTTGAAAAAAAAAAAGGAAATTACAGAGTTTGAAGGACTTCTCATTTCATTCATTTAAAACATTTAGTGAAAAATGGAGACAGGATTCAGATCGCAGAGAAAAAAAAGAGGTGCTGAGGATACTGTTCAAGAGACTTACTTTTCAGTTTTTTCATTTTCGTCACCTGAGTCCACTTTAGCTGCTTCACTGCTATATAATTCATGTCTCTGAATGTACACAGAGAGAAATGAGAAATCAGTTTTAAGTTTTACACTCGAGCACATAGAAGAAAGTGAAATTGGTACCATGTAATACTCTCACAGCACAATGAATGGATGTACTGACTAGATCTTCTATACCATATGTGTGTGTTTCTGTTGTTTCTTTCTTCTTTTATTTTATCCAGTCTTAACAGGCTTGCTAATTCCCTCTCAGTCTGTACCATGTTTAGAGAAACTAAGGTAATCAATGGCTTTTGCCAGTCTTTTATTACTGCACTTTTTTCTTCTCTACTGACCTTACCTGGTCTAAGTTTTAAAACAGTCCTTGGAAAAAGCATTAAAAAGAAGTGCAAAGGCTCCATGCATGCACATAACATTTCTCCATTTATTTGATGAAGACAAGCTTCACCTATACATAGGACCAACTAGAAAGAACATAATATAACTAAATTTTTAATACAGAGCAATTGCTTTATTGAGGGTAAAAATGTACTAACCAGGAGCCCAAGACACCAATTATGTCCCACAGGTAAGTATGAACTCCTTTGTGTAGGACTTGGAGCTGCAAAGGAGCAAACGGAAATTTATTACAAAAATGCAAGAGTAAAGACCAACCACAGCAAGAGGATGAAAGGATGATTAAAGTGTACTTTTTTAGGGACCAGCCAACATGTATACTTCCCAGCAGAGAAAAAAAAGATCAAGTACAACACAGAGATTTTGAGAATACAACGTACCTGCCTTCACTTTAAATTTTAAGCTACATGTTAGCACATGAAAGTAAGCAATGATAAATTCTGTTTCAAATAGTACATCAGACAATCAATGGAGTAACAAGAACAGACCTTTTACCAGATTCTTGGTTGTGTGTGCTCCTAGTCGATAAAACCTAGAAATGAACATAATCATTCAACCTGAAAATCCCCCACAAAGAAAGAAATAGGATCAACGAGCAACTTGAAGAAGACGCTATGCAGAATATAACTCTATATTTCAAACTAAACCCAACACAACATCACTTGTCAAACCAGGCTTGCCTTGCTTGGTTATTTTTTACAAACTAAGCTTCCCATAACTCAAAAACAGTGGATATTCAACTAGGCTCAGTTATGCACATTCAAAAACAAAACCCTTGTTTCAAAGACGATATATAACGATCACAAATTTAACAGTGGATTACAGTGGCTTTACTCAAAATACAACCTTTGAAAAGACGAATTAACATACATACCGAAAAAAGTTTAATCAACTATTCAATTTTCAACTCCATACATCGCCTCACAGATAAATTACGAAATCCAAAACTAACAATGAGATCATAAGAGAACAATAATAAGAAGAAAGATGAAGCTTTCTGAAATAATATTTTCCGGTTCAAGTTCGAGAACAATATTACCTGGACTCGCCGGAGCAGACAGCGGCGTCGACTCCACCCAGAAATTACACTCAACGAACCTTGAGCCGAGTGATCGATTTCTAAAAGGCTGAAAGTGAAACAGGTCACAACTCACAAATGATGTCGTTTAGATTAACATCAGACAAGAAGATACCAGAGAACGGAGACCCGCCGTGAGAATGGGCCAATAAGTGCTTATAAAATGGGCTCAAAATGGAATTATATTGGGCCTAAAGAGATTGAGCCCAAGATAAAATCATACATTACTGGCTTACAAAAGTAGTTGACTTCGTCAATACGAGCTCGGTCCATGTGGACTGAGCACAGTGGATAAGGAACACCTGAATCTTAGCACGTTAATCGAAATCATAGTTTTTATTTTATGGTACGGCCAAAATACGGAAATAAATTACCGAGCCTACCGGTCGCCTGTGACCCTTTTAATCAGTCCAAGCGCGTGGCATTTTTGTTCTCTCTTTGTGTTTTAAAGCCGCGCGTAAGATTTTTTTTGTTTTTATTTCAATTTTCAAACTCTTACCTTTTTAAGCAAAATTTATCGTTATCAAGTACTCCCTCTATTTTGAAATATAAGGCATTTAAGGTTATTGCACAAATATTAAAAAGACATTAATTAATGAATAAATTGACTAAATTAATCTTATTTACTCTAATCACAACTACTCCACACTTTTTTAATTTCAACACAATGAGGTATATTTAAAAAAAAATGCAAAAATTTGTCTTGATTATTGAGCGCGTCTTATATTTCAAAAAAATTGAGAAATCTTTATATGTCTTATATTTCAAAATGGAGGGAGTATTAACTTTAAAAGTTCGCGTACCTCTTTTTTCCTTACTTCTTTTTAATAATTGTTTGGATCATTTCCATTCAAATTACTGTAATTTAGGGTGCAGTTATAAATTACAATAAATTTAATCTTTCTACTTTATTGATGGTAATTTTTTATTTTTTTTTCCAAAAATTGTGACAAGCTAAATTTGATGTAGAATGTTTTAATGAATATTTACTCCGTAAAAGAATATAAACAATTTAGGATTAATTATTAGGCTTGCTTCTAAAATTACAAATATGGATAGATCGGAAATATTGAACCTAATAATAACACCAACATTTAACTTTTTACAAATAAAAAAAAAATTGTAATTATAAAACCAACTTGTAAATAAAGGACGGTTTATATAAATAATGTATAATTTAACTTATACTTGGTTACTTAATGTTAATTTTCTTTTGATGTCATGTGTATTGCATGAGTTAGTCCTCACTAGTCACTATTCTATAATGATATATTTTCTTTTATTTGATTGAAAAATGTTATATTGCCAGTAACATGATTCAATAATTACCTGCATCCTTTAATTTCATATGAAACATATTTTTTTTTTCAAATAACATATTTTATTTAAATAAAGTTTAGTATTTTGCTAACAAAAAATTCTATGGAACCATGATTTTCTTATGGAGTTATCCACCACTTAATGTATTGACACTTGTCTAAAGTGTATTTATTGTAGGACACGTGTCAATACACTATTGATGAATAAGTGTGGATAACTCGATAAGTAGATGCTCCATAACAAAATTGTTTTCCTAAGTGCACATTGCAATTTGACAATTTCACACAACTTTTGTTGGGCTGGAAAAGATCTTTACGTCAAGCTAACTGGAAGAAGTACATAAGCACTATAGGACCAAAACCCAAATGGATCGCGTCCAATTCACGCGCCACCCTTAAGCCGTCTAGATAGGCTTTTTTTTCCAATAACCACGACGTTGACGGTTGAAAACACGGCTTTGGTGTCACCAACAATGTAGAAAAAAGGGAAATGATAATTATTAAAAAAAAGTAAACCCAAACAGCCCATTAAAAAACCTTTTTTCTTCTTCTCTTTCTTACACCCTTCGTACATATCCCAATTGCCGTGCTTTTGGGCAAATCAATATCTGCACGAACAGGATTTAAGAAAATAATAAAAAAGGATACAGAAGTTTTGAGCCCTTTTCCGTTGGTGTTCGAGAAAAAAAAAAAAAAAAANTGTTTGTGGCTAACTGTTGGTGCTGATTATGACAAAAGGGCATTTGATGTTATTAATGTTGTGAAGCTCTTGATGTTTGTCATATGATCCATTTTTTTTTTTTTCCTTTGTTTTATCTGTCTCTCTTTTTGTTACGATTCTTTTTGGTTTTCTGGTACGCATTTCTTTTCTTGATTTCGTTTCTCGGCTTGACTTTTATCTTAAACAGTATCTGGAGTTACTTAAAGTGCTAATCTCCTTACAGCTACCTATTTTTGACTTTTTTGGGCTTGATATACTAACTATGGTATACAGCTTAGTGGAAGGTAATTGTTGAAATATTGTGACCATATATGACTGATAATCTGATTAGACTTTAACGAAACCATAGATGTAACTGCTCCTCTGGATTTGGGAATATCGATGAATAGGCAAGTGCTAGGTTCTGGTAGCTTGTGAATACATAGAGGGAATGAGCTTGGTGGCTTTAGATCACATTTCCATTGTTACTTTTGAGACACTTGTCATTTATCCAACAAAGCGGAATATGCAGAGTGAGTTGGTAATTGGTGTACAGAGGATTGGATGGGCGAAAAACGACACGTCTTTGTATTTGTTGTTTCTTAACTTATATTTTCATTATAACTTGGTTTGGATTTTTGCATCGTACATACTAAATCACGCACATGTCCTTAGGTAAGTCCTGGAAGAAAATACAATATAAGGAGTGTTGGCACTTGGATTTTCAGTCATTTACTATAACCTTGGTTTTCCAAACTTCTCTGGCAATAGTACCTTACAATGTTTCCTATTTTAGGCTTTGTATTGTAACATATCTACTCACACAAAAAATAAAAAAAAAATAAAAAAAAATGCTTTAAGCTGACGCTAGGGACAATCAGACTTTTGGACTGATGTCGTAATACATATATATAATCGACTGACATGAGGTTTTTCCTTAACATGGATATGGAGTTGCAGTTGTTTGATGTACAAATTTCCACCCGAATTAAAACTAAAACCCTTCTTCTTTAGATTTGTAGCTTCATGCATGTCATGCAATCTAACAATTTTTTTTGTTATGATTTGCTCACTCTTCAATAGGTCAAAGTACCTGTTTGGGAAGATGGCAAAGAAGTAATGGAGTTCGTGGGGGTTGGTGCTCGATTTGGCCCTACATTGGAATCAAAGGAGAAACGTGCTAACCAGACAAGAGTTGCTCTTGCTGACCCTCCCGATTGTTGTAGTAGACCCAGGAATCAGGTTATTTTCCTTCTTTTTGTAGTATATAATATATAAACCATGATAAATTTATCCTTGTTAGTATTATAAAAA